GGTAAAGAGTCAGACACGACTGAGCGACTTTCACTTTCACCCAGCTCTAAGGTGGGATCCTCTTGGGGAGAAGAGGGTGGCAGCCAGCAATGCAAATGATACAGAGCAGCAAGCTCAGGGCTCATCTGGCTCATCTCAGGGCTCAGGGCATATCAGTGTCAAAGATCTGGAAACTCCCTGAATTTGGATGTGAAATTGATTGTTCACATGTTTTTCTATAGAGAGGACCTATAGCTTTACTTAATTCTTGCTATAGCTGAGCTTCCTCCAAAGATTAAGAATTACTGATGGTTGTGGTACAGTCTGGAGTTGGGGCAAGGCAGCTGAGGCTCTCTCAGAGAGCTTGTAGGGCAGTGAACTAGGGTGGAATTGCTCATCCCTTTTGAAAGGAGGAGTGCAGCAGTATGTGGGGGTGAGGGAGGGGGATACACAGAAGGTCTGCCAAAGTAGGCTGAGGTTGAGGGAGGGTCCCCTGCCCAAGAGGACGGGACTGCTTGTGGACTGGCTGTCTAGAGGTTAGGCTCTGTCTAGTTCAGGGGCATCTGGATACTCCCCCAAGCTTTAAACAAAGAGATTATGTCCAGACACCTGCAGCCCTGGTTTCTTTAACCTTCTCATTCTCTACAAGCCTCACTTTCATGCCAGTACTGCCCACCCCCACTGCCATCTCCCATCCCCACAGCTGAACCTAGACCTCAGCGTCCCACACCACACTTCCGCTGAAAGCACGGTTCAGATCTTTGCTCTGACCACGACGGGCCCCCACACTCCTTCAATCTCACAGAGGCCTTCTACCTGCTGGCTCCCCTGTTTCCTCCCTTCTCATCAGCCATCACCTGTCTTCACTTCTTTCTCTACCCATCTTGATTTGGGGGCCTGTCCCATTACTTGAGCCAGCCCACCCACTCCTTGGTTCCAGTGTCCTTCTGGTATATCTGACTAGCAATATCTCAACTCTGGATGAACAGCCATGACTGCGCCCAGGGGTGACAAGCTGAGCAGCCATCCTGCTTTGGTGCCACAGGACTCTAGGCTCAACCTCTGGTGGGACCCCACACACTGGCTCTCCATACCCCACTACCCTCCCTCCCACTCTCACCAGGTGGCTCTGCTCTGCCAGAGAGGAATCGCCTCTGTTCTCCACCACCAGTTCGTGTATCCATTTGCATTTCTGCCCATCCTCATCTCTTGCAAGGATAACTGCAACAGCTTGCTGAATGTTTTCTCTAAACATCCCTCCTCCAAATCCACTTTTCATGTTGCAGCCAGGGTGATCCTTTAACAACAAAAATCTGATCATGTCATTCCAGTTAAGATCATGTCAGTTAATTAATTACATCAGAAAGTTATGGAATACATACTCTGTGTCCAGCACTGTGCCCAGGCACTTGGGATACAGCCAGATAACAAAATGCCTCAATGTAAAACCTTACATTGACTTTCTCTTGCTCATAATCTAAAAATAAAAAATTCTCAATCTGGTCCCCAAGGCCCCTACCTACCCTTTACTGTGCTGCTCATCCCCTCACCCTCATTCATTTGGTTACACCGACTTCTATATCCCTTTAAGTTGCTGTAGGACAGTAACTCAAGGGAGTAGTTGGGTGGGGATGAGAAAATACGGCCAGAAGAGAGGGAATTGGAGGGGAAGGAATGATTTTTGGGGAGGTAGGATGGATGGGACAAAGCAGCAGAGAGAGGTGGGTTGGGATCAGGAGCACAGACTGGGCTGTGGGATGTTAAAGAAAGAGGGAGGTTTATTTCTGACCAATAGTCAGGAAGAGAGAAAAGAGACTAATTTTGAGATGGAGGGGAGGAAAATGGAGAGAGTTCACATGTCAAGTGTCTGACAACTTCAACAAAGCAGGAAGCAAGGTTGTCAACTTGTGGAAGACTTGGAGGGGAAGCTAGTGGCTAGCAGCTTGAGGAATGAGAAGTTTTGAATATGCGCTGGGGAATGTGTTAGGGAGCTAATAAGGCAATGAGATGAATGGAAGGCCCATTGATCACTTGTTTATTGGGGACCCAGGTAAGGTTAACCAAAATGGGGGGTAGACTGCAATTGTTCAGAAATTGGGGATAGTACCACCAGCCCTTTTCAAATAAGCCTCCCAGAACTGAAAAAAAAAATTGGTTGTTTGCTTTTTGGCTGTGCTGGGGCTGCGCTGCTGTGCGGGCTTGCTCTAGTTGCAGAGACCGGGGCTGCTCTCCGTTGTGGTGCGTAAGCTTCTCTGCAGTGCCTTCTCTTGTTGCAGGGCATGGGCTCTTGGCATGCTTGGCTTCAGCAGTTGCAGCACGCGGGCTCAGTAGTTGTGGGCTCAGGGCTTTGGGGCTCAGGGCACGGGCTTAGTTGCCCTGTGCCATGCAGAATCTTCCCAGACCAGGGGCTGAGCCTGTGACCCCTGCACTGGCAGGCAGATTCTTATCCACTGTGCCACCAGGGAAATGCAAACCCTATAGGTTTTAAGGAGTAAAACTGTTGAATGTTAAAGGCTTTCACTAAGTATGCACAGGTATGGCATTTCCAGGGTAGTCAAAGGAAAAAAGATTGCAAAGTTTAAGGACCAGATGTCAGTGAAGGACTGAGGTTCCACTCTGGGGAATATTGTTAGCAACCAGATTGCTGAGTGTTGAGATCCCTCTCCTGGGTCTGGGCAGGGCAGTGCTGTCACACTCTTTCTGCTTTTTAGATTCCTGCTGTCCCTTGGGATGGATACAGAATGAGAGGAGTTGCTTTTACATCTCAGTTACTAAGAGATCTTGGATGGAAAGCCAAAGCCATTGTAAATCTCTGTCCTCTGATTTGGCCCAAACCAGCGACGGTTTTCAATCAAATACAGTAAGCGAATCCCTACTCAAAGACTGTGGTGGGTACTGTTGGGTAAAGGGACATATGTCATCGAGTCAAGGATGGCAGTGCACCCAGGGCGTTGCATCCCTTTTCTGTGCAGCCTCTCAGCACAGGGCTCCAGGTGGCCCTACCTACTGATTAGGGCTGGCATGAGAGTTGAAACTTACAAGTCATCTTTACTTTAACCTGTTTCGCATCTCAGCTTTTTGGTCAGTTCTGGGCTGCTCAACAGGTTCCTTGACTTTCATGGTCTCCCAGGCAGACAGGTTCCATACATGGTGCACTAGATTGTAGGGAATGGCTCCTTGTGACAAGAACCATCCACAGAATGACTCTTCACAGGCTGGCAGAAATTCTTACCCAGCATGTGCGTGTGGGTATGCATGCATGCACGTGTAATGAGGGGTCAGCTTGTATCTGCAGGGTGGCACCTGAAGGATGTGGGGATGGTCACCGATCAGGTGATGTCATGCACCAAGGTTGGGTACAGTCCTCTTGCTGAAGCTCATAGCCTCTCTAGTATTTTCTTCCCCTCCTCTTGACACCCCGTCTCTCCCCCTGTTCCAGTATTTCCCATCACTCCTCACACACCTCTGGTCTCTTGATCTCCCTGCAGATTTCTCAGACTCTTATTAGAAACTTACGGAAGGTGCTGCCAGCTGAATCATACTGGGTTGGCTCCAGAAGTCGGTTCTGGCAGTCTGACCATACAAAATACAGTTGGTAAGTTTGTTAGGACTTTGGGGCAACAAAAATCCTCTATAATCCCTTCGTAAAGACGTGGTAATGAACTCTCCTGCCAGGTCATCCTCTCAAAACTTTTGATGTTATAATCACCCATGTGTCCATTTCTTCTATTTGATTAATAACTCTCAGGGCAGGCATGCTCTGTATTCTATCCCCAGTATCCAGCAGTCCCTGGCACATGCTTTACTTAAAAAAAAAAAAAAAAAAAAAGACTAGTTTGGGAACCTATGTCATCTCTCTCTCAGAGGGATAAGTTGAGGATTTAGCTAGGGGTCACAGCTGATGAAGAACCTCGGGTCTTCTAACTTTACAGTCGACAAGGCTACCCAAACTGAAGTTGTACTTTTTCAGTCAAGGCCACTTGGGGCACCAGAGTTGCCCCACAGAAGTGAGAAAGGAAGTAACTGGGGTAACTTTTGAGGACCAACCCCAGGGACACTGAAGCAGGGTAGTTAGCTAACTGAAGTTTCCATCTTTGAAAACTTGGGCATTTTCCCCCTCCCTTGGTCCCACAGCCTCTTTGGGTCGGAGTCCAGACACCTGGCCCTGAACCCTCTCTCACACACAGCAGGCAGGGCGGGTTAGGATGTGGGTTAGGTTTGTGCGGGGCGAGAGGAGGGGGGATGGGATAGGAGGGGCCAGAGCTTAACCCTGCGCCACTTCACTACCCGTTAGGTTTCCCAGTCGAATAAAATGTCCCAAGCTAGAAAGCAAGTGGATGAAGCTGGATACAGTGGAGTGTCAGGCTCTTCTTCCCTCCATCTGTGAGATGTCAGCTTTCAGGTCTCCAGATGGGGACCACTCTTTGCACTGAGCTGGGTAAGTGTGGGGGATGGGACTGAGGCATGGAGCCTAGGGCAGAGGGTCTCGCACAGAGGACAGGGGGAAACTTGTTCCTGGAGGCGGCAGCCATGTCACAGCCTCCAGGGGCTTGGTCTGCTTATGGAAGGGAGAGTTGGGCAGGGAAGGCCTGGAACTGAAGGGAGGCCGGCGATGTGGCTGTCCAGGTTGCTGGGGAGGAAGTGGGGTGAGCTGGATGAGCATTCTCAGTGGCAGTCAACCGTGGAGCTCACTGATGCTTTAATCCTCCAGGTCTCACTGATGCTTTAATCCTCCAGGTACTCAACAACAGGAGCCTGTGCCCTTCAGCGCTAACCTGTAGCCTGCGGGCCCTAAGATCTGCCTTCCTCCAGTGTGTCTTCACTCTGCCCAGACAGGGCAGACCCAGGCCCAGCATTTCTAGGCAAGTCTGCTGGATATCCTGTCCTAGAAACTGGACTGTTCCCAGGGAACGGGGAAGGAGCTTCTAGAAGAGATTTCACCCCCCCCCCCAACTCCAAAACCTCTCACAGTAGAATGGGTGGGGAGGGCGCATGGGCTAAGCGGATGGGGGCAGCCCGGAGCCAGCCAGGCAGTTTTATTGAAATATTTTTAAATAATTTGCACGTGTTAGTCTCGTGTGTCAGCAATGCGTTGTCTGGTTCAGTGATCCCCACGGGAGAGCAAGCCCAGGGGTTGGAAAGGAAATGTTCTGTTCCTCGCGTCCATGTTGAGCCTCCCCTGTATGGGGCAAGAGCTGCTCAGCCCGTCCAGGGCTGGCGCGGTCCAGCGTGTGCTCTCCGTCCTCACGGGGCATCCTGGAGGCCAGGGTGGAGGCCAGAGACCACAGGCCCCACTGCTAAGAGCGTGCCCCGGGCAGCTGCAGGCTGGGGGTGGGTGGCTTGGCGTGGTGCCCTCGATGGCAGAGGAGACTGCCCGCCTCACAGTTCAGGTTGCGGTAGCGGGCCACAGCTGGTGCGGGGCGGGGGCACATGGACAGGAAGCCAAAGCTGAAGGGGCCGAGGCAGCAACCGGGGCAGGGCAGCCCCTCCTCAGGCTCCCGGGGAGCTGAAGGGGGCGGCGAGGGTTCTGTCCGCTCCAGGGCTGCTGCACGGGGCAGACTATGCTGGGCCCGGTTCCAGGGCTCCCCTGCCCAGCCTTGCGGGGAGTTCACCACCACGGCCGGGGGGTTGTTGTTAAGGGGAGGTCCTGATCTAGGGGACCAGGGCTGGGAGGCCGAAGAACAGGTGCTGATGAAGTTGTCTGTGGCCACGGCCATGGCCAGGGGCAGCTGCGGGGCTGGTCTTGGGGGTTCCGGCTCAGGGCTGCTGCCCTCACACTCCATCTGCTCTTCGGCTGACGGGCCCACAGCAGGAGGGCCAGGACCTGGCAGTGCTGTCTCCATCCGTCGGGGCAGCTCAGGGGATGACGGCAGCGAGCGGCAGCGGCGGGCAGGTGTCCCAGGCTGGACCAAGGTCTCCGGAGTGGTCACCAGGGGCAGCTGGGTAGAGGGCAGTAGCGATGGTGGTACAAGGGGTAGAGGGGCCACTGGCTTGCTGGGTGTGTCCAGGAGCTTGATCTTGCCACCTCTGAGGTCTTCCCGTAGTGAAAAGGGGTTGACTCGAGTCAGATTGTCCCCCCAGTTGGGGGGTGATTCTGGCGATGGGGGTAGGAAGAGGTCTGACCGGCTTCGGGAGAGCCGGGGGTCTGGCCTGGGGAGTGTGGCAGAGGGACCCCCTCTTGGAACAGATTCTGCAGGCAAAGAAGTCTGTGGTCACTGTTCTCAGCACTCATCAGAGTTCCCTGAGGGCCTCATAAATGGACTGGGAGGCTGGTGGGACTGGAGCTGAGAACAGGGTGCTCTGGGAGGAGGGAGATGTCCCCGCCAGCCTCTTGTACCTCTTCTTCCCTTGTCCCCTCCCTCAGGCTCCAGAATTAGAAAACTACCTGCCTAGAGGTGTCCTCTCACCGCACTCCCGCCCCCAACCTTCTCAACTAATAAAACACTCAGTCTCCTCAGATAATTCCGAGTTCTAAGGAAGAGAGGAGCAAAAGGACTCCAGTGGTGCTCACTCACCCTGACCGCGTGTCAGGGGGACCCGGGGCAGGGAGGCTGGCTCAGGCAGCTGCTCCAGGATCCACTCCAGGTGCTGGGTGATTTCAGTGAAGGGAGCACGAGTGCGCGGTTCCATCTGATAGGGAGAGACAAACAGCTTCACTCAGAGCTCCAAAAGAGTGTCCCTGAGCAGTCCTCCCATCCCCTGGGCTGGCGGGGGGTGGAGGGCAGCGGAGAGCGAGGCTCTTACACTGCAGCAGTGGATGGCCAGGAGCAGGAAAGGCAGTGGGCAGTCGTCCCCTACCAGGGTCCTGAAAGCAGGCACATCCAGCCCAAAGTCCTGTGGGGACAGAGATGAGATGCCTCTGAGTCAGCCTTCCTCCAGTTTTCCTGCTGCCCCCACTTAGGGCCTCCCCCTTCTGGGAACCCTCCTTGGTTATGGACTGCCCAGTCTGGAGGGCGCCCTTTTAAACCGGGACATGTCGCTCACCTCGGTCCGGGGCAGGTAGTCAGGGTCTGCAGGGACCCGGGCGATGAGCTCACAGAGGACAATTCCAAAGGCAAAGACATCAGCCTGGGGCAGGAGAGAACGTCAGGGGTGCGCTGACAGTGCCATGTCAGAATAGAAGCTGGGGGAGTCTGGACAGTTGCCATGTGTTGGAGGGGATAAGAGGGGTAAGGTCTTGGGTCTTCTGAGTATCTCGCAGAGCTGCTGAGGAACTTGGGATGGGGCCTTACAAGAGAATCTCCAGGGTCTCTGGAAGGCCTTGGGGACCTCAAGGGTTGACGTCTTACCTTCTCATCATACAGCTCTCCTCGCAACACCTCTGGAGCCATCCAATACGGGGAACCCACCACAGCCAAAGGCTCCTTCCTTGCCCCTTCCCTGCAGGGGCAGAGTGGTCAGGAATATCCCATCCAAACACCCTTCCCAAACAAAAGGGGGTGAGGTCAGCCTACTCCCCACCCCAAAGGAAACGTGCCTATGGGCTTTGCTTAGATAAGGGCCTTCCGGGAGGTTTAGGGGGACAGGGCGTTCACCTCACCTATACACAGGAATCTTTTCAGCCAGCCCGAAGTCACCCACAACAGCTGTGAAGCCTCGGTCTTCCCGTCGGATCAGACAGTTCTGACATATACATATAGCATCCCCGCATACCCATCACCTTCTGTTCTCTGATCTCCCACTATGCACCTCAAAGACCTGTCATTCCAGAATAACCCCATCTTCTCTGATCTCCCAGTTCTCCAATGTACCCCAATCTTGCAGCATCACCCATCTCTCAGTTTAAACAGAATGGTTCTCAGTCCCTCAGAGCACTCCCCCTCATCCCATTCCCCCATACTTCAATGTCTTGCTACCCCAACATCCTAATGTTGCCTGTTATCCACTTTCCAGTATCCACGGGCTGGTTACAATCTAATGAATCTCAAATCCCCTTTCACGCCTCCACCCACCTGGCCCGCCTACCTTGGACGTGAGGTCTCGGTGGAATACCCCTTTGGCATGCAGGTACCGCAGGCCACGGGCGATGTCCAAAGCCAGGCGGAGCCGGACAGGCCAGGATAGGGGTTCGGGGGANACGGGCGATGTCCAAAGCCAGGCGGAGCCGGACAGGCCAGGATAGGGGTTCGGGGGAGCTGAGCAGCTGTTCCAGGGTCCCCCCGTTCATATACTGGGACATGGGGGGAGAAGGGGAACAAATATCAAAGCTTCAGTCTGTTCTCTAGGTCTCCCACTTTTAAGCCTGGGGACACTCAAGAGTATCACAAAGGTCAATAGGGCGAGTCTGTGTTCTAGGGTTCACCATTCATATCCTAAGGCTGTCCTGACCCATACATGTACATCTATTTAAATTTAAATTATTAAGTTTAAAGAGAATTAAACATTCAGTTCCTGTCACACTAGTCACATTTCCAGTGCTCCTCAGCAACTTGTGGCGAGTGGCTATGGTTTTGGACCGCACAGATACAGAACATTTTTTATCACTGCAGAAAGATACGTTGTTGGACAGCACCCTTCTAAAGAGTACCAAGGATGGGACCAGCTGACGCCTTTTACTTGTGGTTTGCCTAAAGGGACGCTCTGGGAAGCCTCCCCTGATTCCTGCCGCCTCCCACTACTCCTCTGCAGATGCACGGGGCCGCTGACTCCCTCTCCCCTTGGTGGTGAGGGGGTCCCCCCGCTTCTTGGCCCATCCTCACCTCTGTAAGAGCGTGCAGCTGCCCTTGGTGCACGCAGACCCCCATGAACCTGGAGAAGAATGGGAAAGATAGCAGGGTAGGCTGTAAGAGCCTCGGCCTCTCCACAGTTCCCACTTTTCCCGCGGGATCTCTCCCCTCCCCCACAGCAAGCTTCCCAGCAAGGGGCTGGGGCCCGCTCACCTTAGGATGTTGGGGTGCCGAAGCCGGTTCATCAGCTGCACCTCCCTTAGCGTGTTTCCCCGGTTACTAGGGAGCCTGTTCATTTTCAGCACCATGACTTGCCCTGACTGTCGGTGCCGAACCTTCGGGCGGTNGGCCGCTCCGCTTCGCCGCTGGGGCTCAGGCTCCGCGGCCTGCCGGGGGCGGGGCTGAGCCGGGCCTCTGATTAACTCCTTCGAGCCTGGCCGCCGGGCAGCGGCCACGCCCCCTCAGGTGCGCACCCCGCAACCGGAAGCCACTGTGTCCTAGGCGAGTGGGTCTGGGGCGTCGGGGTCAAATGAGGTCAGGCCTGAGCTGAATAACTGAAGGGAATTAAGGGTTGATTGTGCGTACGCGCAGTTCAAGTGTCTTTTAACTGCCCTGGGAGTCCTTTCTCCTCTCCCTCCTTCAGGTCACTGGCGGTTGACAACTCGGCTCACGGAGCCGCGCGATTCCCGGGCTCAGAGGACTCGCAGGGCTGAAAAATGGATCCTTCTGGCCCAGCCACAATCGGAGGCAGCCTAGCAACCTACCTTCCTTCCCAGCCTCCGCCCTGGCCCAGCCTGCCCATTTCCCAGGTCTCGACCTTTACACCTTAAACCTCCGGACTCCCTGACACTTTCTAACTTCTCGGGGGGTGGTGATGCCCCGAGACTGCAGCGAGCCCTAGGCCAGTCCATTCCAAGTGTGGCCCCGACTCCTCATGCATCCCGCCTCCCTCGAATAAAGTTCAGATTCCAGAGCCTCGTCAAGCGACAACCCAGCCTGCACATTCCTTTTATTATTTCGTCCGAAAGCCCCTCTCTCTCAAAAGAGAGGACTCCACCTGTAGGGACGCCCCTCTAAGCGCAAGATCCCACCCCTTAGCAAAACCCCGCCCCTCAAGGAACTCTTCGGGGACTTCTCTCCGTGAGACCTCTCAGTATGACACCGTCAACCAACGCCAGTGGGTACCAGAACCCCTCAGAGTGACAACCCTCCTTGGTGTGTTCCTTCTGCCCAGCGAGACCCCACCTCTCAGAGTGACTCCACCAGCCATTGTGACCCCTCCTCTCGACCTGACCCCTCCCCTCAGTGTGGCCCGAGTCAGAGTGACCCCTCTAGATAGGTACCGCCCCCATTACGTAGGAATCGGGTCTGCCGGCCCGGGCGGCCGGAAGTTCTGCCAGCGGCCGCTAGAGCGGCGCGAGGTCTCGAGTGCGCGCGCACCGCCTCAGGACCGCTGCGCTCGCCGTACCCAACGCTTTCTCTTCTCCGCTGGCTCCGCCCCCTGTCCTCGGCGGTATAGCCAATCATCGCCTGGGATGGGTGACGTCACACGATCCCGGTGACAGGTCTGGGAAGAGCGTTGGTGGGCGTCGGTGAGCCGCTTGCCACCTAGCGGCGGAGTGGAGGCCGGCAGGAGCGGAGGCTGCGGGCCTGCGGCGAAAGTCTGCGACAGAGCGACTGAGGGAGCGAGTCTGAATTCTTTTCAGAAACTCTAAAGTACCATTTTTATTTCTGTGATAAGCTAAGAAGAAAATTAATTGCACAGTCCGCATCCGTGTGGGTGACTACCTTCTAACAGAGTCTTATCCCATATTTATGGAGTGAGAGCCTCGTACTACTTAATTGTCAAGAGCTAATGAGAAAAGAATAAAGCAGTCTTAAATTATGAACAGTGCAGGAGGGTCGAGCGAAGGTCTCGGTACAAGGGACGTTTCCGCACAAGGTAGGAGAAAGAGCCAGAGTGATTCACAGTCCTTCCACTGCCGGTGTAGACAGGCCGTGTGCATCATGTTCATTCCTCCAGAGGCAATTCTGTCTCAGCAAAACAAGCTCATTTGCCACATTAAATGTTAACATCTACAGTATTTCTTTTGTAAGTTTGCTTTCTGTAGTTGTTTAAGATCTGTGAAAAGTGAAAGTGTCACTCAGTCGTGTCCCACTCTTTGTGACCCCATGGACTGTAGCCCGCCCGACAGGCTCCTCTGTCCATGGAATTCTCCAGGCAAGAATACTGGAGCGAGTTGCCACTCCCTTCTTCAGGGGATTTTCCCAACGCAGGGATGGAACCCGGGTCTCAGTATTGCAAGCAACTTCTTTACCATCTGAGCCGCCAGGGAAGCCCAATAAACACTAGGAATTTATGCTTCCTTTTGTTTAAGCAATATAATATTTTAATCTACTTGTGTCTGACCCTTTATCCAAGTTTGAGAATATCCGTAGTTGGTAATAGTAATTCCAAGCGTAGGAGCCAGGTTGCCCATTTAGACAGATTACTGTAGTGGTTGTATGGAGGCAGGAAGACTGATGAACAAGGCAGCGCTGATGATGCTTCATTGAGGAGAGGCTGAGGCACTGAACTAGGATAGGGATGATAGGAAAGGGGAGGCAGAAACATTCAGCTAGAATGGGAAAGCTTGCTGACTGACCAGCATCCAAATTCAGTCAGTCCTGAGGAGGCAAAGAGCATCAACCAGGATAATTTTAAAGTTTCTTGCTAAAAAATAAATAAATAAATAAAGTTTCTTGCTTAGATGACGGAGTATCAACTGAGATAAAGAATCCAGGTGGAGGACAGGTTGGGGGGCGGTAGGTAATTGTCATAAACAAAGGGGTCATATGATGGAAAAGAAAACTATGAATGTGGATGCCATTATCCCAGTAGGGAGGAAGTAGTAGGCTGATACTGAACTTCTAGGGAACACCAGTAGTAATAATGTGTAGGTGGATGAAGAGAAGTCCGTGAAGGAAACAGAAGAAACATGCTGAAATGTAGGAAGAGAATTTTTTTGAGAGTGCATAAAATGATTTATTTAGAATAAAGTATAAGTGTTTATAATGTAATTTCAAATTCTAGTGAAAGTGAAAGTTGCTTGTGTCCAACTCTTTGCGACCCCGTGGACTTTACCCTGCCAGGATCCTCTGTCCATAGAATTCTCCAGGCCAGAATACTGGAGTGGGTAGCTGTCCCTTCTCCGGGGGATCTTCCTAACCTAGGGATCGAACCCAGGTCTCCCATATTGCAGGCGAATTCTTTACCGTCTGAGCCACCTTCAATTTCAAACTTCTGTATAAAAGGGTCAGGACCTTTACCTATTTTAAGAAGTACACATAGGGTATACACATACACATTTTGCCTTTTTTATTTAATTAAAGTCATAATAAAGCTGTTTAGAATAGTGCTGACATATATTTACATTATAATATGCACTCCAGTCTGTGACTGAACTAGCACTATATCTGTGTATTCACCTAAATATCTGAATACTTTTCACTGCCAATGATTTAACAAATGGTAGCAAGTGGAATCCAAGGAATGGAGAGTTTAGGAAAAGTGGAATAATGAACAGTATTAAATAGTGCAGAGAGGTGTGCTAAGATGAGCTTGAAATGTTCCTTGAGTTAGGCTGCTAAAAGATCCTTTTGTTGTTGTTTTTCAAACTTTTTAAGGTAGAAAATTCAAAAGTGAAAACAAGAAGAAGAAATAGAACAATGAACCCTTATTTACCTTGGGTAAGACCATTTTGTTGGCGAACCATTGTTCAAAATCACTTACCCACGCCTCAGTTATAATGTTGCCGTAAGTGACTGGGTAGAAGTGAAAATATCCGCTCTTTTGTACCTTCTATGCCAGTGATTCTCAAGTAATCAGTTCATGGACAATCTTGTTTTATCTATACTACTGCTTTTCTCTCCCACCTAGTTATTTGGTGCATATAATGTCATTTCATCAATAAATATTTCGGTGTGTTACCTCTAAAAGATAAGGATTCTTCCTTAAAACAAAATCACAGTACCAAGTCATACTTAAAAAAAATTAACACCATCCAGCATCTAGCTTTTCATATTTCCCCCATTATTTAGTTTTTAAAAATTATTTTAAAAAAATATTTATTTGGCTGTGCCAGATCTTAGCTGTGGCACTCAGGATCTTCAATCTTCACTGAGGTGTGCAGTATCTTTAGTTGTAGCATGTGGAATCTAGTTCCTTGACTAGGGATCAGACTTGGGCCCCCTGCATTGGAAGTGCAGTCTTAGCCACTGGACCACCAGGGAAGTTCCCCAAATTCTTAATTTGAATCAAAATCTAAATAAGGTCCATTCTTTGAGGCTGATGTCTCTTAAACACTTTAACTCCATCTATTATCTCCCCTCCTCCATTTTGTTTTGTTTTTTAAAGAAACCGGGTCATTTGTCCTTATAGAGTTTCTCAGAATCTGAATTTTGCTAAGCTTTTAGCATGTTCTTCAGTCCCCTGTATTTCCAGTAAAGTTGTAGAGACAATTAGATTTCTATTTTATTATTTTGGCAAAACTAACTTGTAGGTGGTTTTAACACTTTTATGAGGTATATACAGTGGTGGACTTCCCTAGCGGCTCAGATGGTACAGAATTGCCTGCAATGTGGGAGACCTGGGCTCGATCTCTGGTTTGGGAAGATCCCCTGGAGGAGGGCATGGCAACCTACTCCAGTATTCTTGCTTGGAGAATCCCAAGGACAGAGGAGCCTGGCAGACTACAGTCCAACGGGTCACAAAGAGACAGACTTGACTGAGTGACTAAGCAGACACATGTATACAGTGGTGGTCTTTGTGACGTTAATAACCAATCATGCTTATTATCTGGACCAGGGTTTCTCAAACGTGGCACTATTGATATTTTTAAAAATTAGTTTATTTTTTAATTGGAGGAAAATTGCTGTCATTGACATTTTGGACTGGAGAGGTTCTTTATAGGAGGAGGCTGTCCTGGTGCACTGTAGGGATGTCTAGCAGCATCCCTGGCCTCAACCCACTGAGGTTCCTCCAGTTGTGATGACTAAAACGTCATTTAGACATTGTCCCCCTGGGGGCAAAATTGTTCCTGATTGAGAACTCTTCCTCATTAAACTAACTGTTACTCAGACACATATTCATATGGGAAAGGCAAAAAAAAAAAAAAAAAAAAANCCAACCCAGGGATCGAACCTGCGTCTCCTACAACTTCTGCATTGCAAGTGGGTTCTTTACCGCTGAGCCACCAGGGAAGTCCGAACAACTGTGTGCCCTCACCTCAATTCAACAGTTATAATTTTGTTAGGTTTGTTCTGTTTCTCTCTGATATAATATTGTATGGTGTGGTATTTGATATAGTATGGTTACACTGTACTATTTAGTATAATTTTTTTGTACCATTTGAAAATACATTGTAGGCATTATGACACTTCATTAGTATTATCTTCCAAGGTAATTTTCTATGTATCCATAATACCATTATTACATCTTGAATTACTTTCTTCATTTAGTTTCTTTTTTTGTGTGGGAATGGGGGGGCACTTGCATGATCTTAGCCCCCCAACCAGGGATCAAACCCAAGCCCTTAGCAGTGAGAGCTCAGAATCCTAATCACTGGACCACCAGGGAATTCCCCTTCCTTTAGTTTTTTGATTCTCCTATTTTATTGGCTCCTTCTGGGGCTCTTTTGCTGATTTGTCTTCATTACGCATCATCTCATCTACCTTATCCTACTCAATGAGGTAGTAACATTAGCTTACCATTGTATAGATGAGAATACTGAGGTCTGATGAGGTGAATTTAGCCAGGGTCTGTATCTCTAGTGACTAGGATTTGAACTAGTGTTTTTGTTTTGTTTTACTTTTATATTATGATATATTATATTTGCCTCTTAAGTAAAAGAAAACTTAGAAGTGGCCTTAACAATAATGAAATCATTTCATAAGAAGGTTGGTTAATTCCGAGACTCTACATTACCATCAAGGACCCAGGCCTTTCTATTCTACCATCCACCCTGGATGGATTAAGGCTTTGTCTGGAGGTTAGCTTAGCTTTCCACAAGATTTATGATTCCTGTCAAAGTTCCAACCTCACATTCACAGAATTTCTCGAGACAGGAAAAGACATTCCTTTTTGCCCATCTCTCTTTCTCTAATTTATTGTGCATCTTTTTTAAGAGCAAAGAAACTTTCCCTAGGACACTCCTTCATCCCAGCAGACTTGCCCTCATATCGTCCAGATTGCCACAAGCCCACACCTAACCAGTCATCGGCAAGGGGAACGGGACCACTATGATGGGCTTAGACTAATCAAGACTCTTTCCTATGGCTGGTTCCGAGCTTCCCTGAAGCTCCTGAAAGCTTAGCAGAACAAAATTGAAGTGCTGTTAGGAAGAAGGGAGATGGGGGTAGGGAATAGGTATGAAGTCTGCAACCAACAGTGTCTGTTACAGAATCCAGGTTGTGAGCCTTGACATACTTCTGCTATTCTAGGCTCCCCCCTCACTCTAGCATAGTTCCTGTGAGCCACGCCCCCCACAATTCTAGCTCTCATGACACATACCGAGGTTGTCCTTGGCAGAACAGTGAAGCACATGAAATTTGTTCTTCGGTGGCCAGTGCTCTTGTGCAATCAAGGAGTCAGTGACACATGCTTGGTGAGCCCCGGCACAGGCATTTGGGGGGAGGGGAGGAGGGCAGAGGCTCTGCCTTCTGGGGAGGTAGTAGCATCCTCCAGATCTCTTTTTCTTGGTCTGTACTTCTCTTAGAATCTGAATGGTTTTCGTAACAAACTCTGATTTGCCTCCTAGTTTTAACATTACCTTCATATCTCCTTCCCCTGAACTCCCACATTGAGAAAACCTGTATCCACTGAATTTACTAACCATTCACTGGTCTCCCCTTTGTATTAGAAGTTTAGAGATAATACTAAACAATTGGAAATGAAATGAAGCTTTAGTAGCTGTGTGCCAGGTGCTGGGGTAAGTCTTTTCACCCACACTATCTGACTGTATTCTTTTTTTTTAAATTAATTTAATTGGAGGCTAATTACTTTATAATATTGTAGTGGTTTTTGCCATACATTGACATGAATCAGCCATGGGTGTGCATGTGTTCCCCATCCTGAGCCCCCTCCCTATCCCATCCCTCTGGGTCATCCCAGTGCACCGGCCCTGAGCACCCTGCCTCATGCATCCAACCTGGACTGGTGATCTGTTTCACATATGATAATATACATGTTTCAATGCTATGCTCTCAAATCATCCCACCCTCACCTTCTCCCAGAGTCCAAAAGACTGTTCTTTACATCTGTGTCTCTTTTGCTGTCTCGCATATAGGGTCATTACCATCTTTCTAAATTCCATATATATGTGTTAGTATACTGTATTGGTGTTTTTCTTTCTGACTGACTTCACTCTGTGTAATAGGCTGCAGTTTCATCCACCTCACTAGAACTGATTCAAATGCATTCTTTTTAATGGCTGAGTAATATTCCATGGTGTATATGTACCACTGCTTTCTTACCCATTCATCTAATGATGGACATCTAGGTTGCTTCCATGTCCTGGCTGTTGTCAACAGTGCTGCGGTGACTGACTGTATTCTTAACAGCATCTTTTTAGGCTGGGCTATTTTAACTTTCCTGTTAAGGGTTTAGGGATTTTAGGTTCAGAGGGAGCCACCTGCTTACAGCTCAAGGCCGCTGACTACTAGGAGCTCATGGCTGCCTGATCTCACACCCATGCCCTTTCCGCTACCCCGCCCCTCTGGCTTCATGGCCTTTGTTGCTACAAAGCGTATTTGTATACATTAATCTGAGGCTCGCAACAGTGGCAGGGTGAGCAGTAGGACCTGCATTTTATAAATGAGGATAGGAGGCTTCAGAGATACTGGATGACTTGCCCATGTCTCACAGAGCTTAGCCGTTCTGACTCCTGCTCCTCTGCGCTTTCTGCCGTCGTGGTGTGTGCCCGGCCGAGCAGGGCATATTTGTTGAGTGGATGATGATGTGGATTATAGTAGTAATTCTTGTCAAGTTCTATTATTAAAATAAACAATGTCACTGCTTAGAGGTGTCTTGGTTCCTTTTCCCCCATCACCCCCCCTCTGGGCTTTCCTAGGAAATCACCTTCAACCAAGATGCAGAGAGAGTAGAACCCACATCTCCTCAGACAGGAGCTTAGACGGGGCTTAGGAATGGCTCAGTGGATCTGTGAGGTTCTGCTCCCCTGCCTCCCACGCGAGGGCTTCCTTCAGTCCTGCAGCGGGGAGGCTGTCTGTACTCAGCCTTCTCCCCGCCCCCAGGTGGCAGGACCGCATTTGTTCAGGAGCAGACAGACCAGCGAGCCTCTGCTCTCCCCGCCTGCTGGCCTAGGCCCTGGCCGTCAGCACACCGGGGCCCCCGCCCCTCTCTCCCCTCCGAGCCCCGCCTCCCGCCGCTGGCTCGGCCTCCCCTCCCTGGACACAGTCAGCACACACAGCCCAGAGGCTGAGCTCGCAGAGAAACAAAAGGAACTGCCTGGGTCCCCATGGCTGTGGCCCGCACCTTCATACCAGGGCTGAACCCCCAGAACCCTCATTATATCCCGGGGTAAGACTTCTACCCAGAGCATACCCGTTCGCTTCTGGGAGTAGGGGTAATAAGGATATTGAGGTGTGCCAGCTCGGCCTTGGGGGCCAAGTGGACATCGTGGTATGGGCGGCTTATGGACGGGTTATCTATGGTGTTGGATGGAAAAGGGAAAGCAAAGGAATAGTAGGAACCGGGCCTGCTGTGAAGCGTTGCGTTGTGCTCTCCATGGCAACAGGGTAACAGCCGAGGGGAAGGTTGAAAACCCAGAGAACTAAGAAATGCCTGCTCCAAATACACACACAGCGGAGTCCAGAAATGCTCAGGGCCTCAGCGGTCTCTGCGTCTCTGTCTGGGGATGGTGAGGCAGGGCTTTCTGGAGGTGAGCAGGTGAAACCTGTGTTACAGGTACACTGGACACTGCCCGCTACTTCGGTTCAGCATGGGCCAGACCTATGGACAGATGACTGGGCAGCTACTTCGCGGCTCTCCTGGCCTAGCCTGGCCCCCCGCCCACCGCACACTTCTGCCTCCCATTCGGCCTCCAAGATCCCCCAAGCCTCGCAGGAGGAGCCTGCCTGTCAGGCGCGGACACGAAAGGCTCAGCTCCAGCATGGTCCCTGGGTACACAGGTTCGGACACAGGTATGAACAGGGGCCCCATCCCAGGACATGGGCCCCGTGCGCTGATGCATCTTCCTTGCCCCCTGCCCACCTAGGTTTTGTGCCACAGGCACAGTTCATCTTTGCCAAGAACTGCAGCCAGGTCTGGGCTGAGGCTCTCAATGGCTTTACTCAGTGCAGCGGAGGACAGGGGAGTCAGGAGCTGCCCGAAGAAGCCAAGGGGGAAAAAGATGTGGAGAAAGACCAGGAGCCAAAGCCGGAGGCGGAAAAGGAGCCGGAGCTGGGGCAGGAGGCGGAACAAGTGAGATGGAGAAGGCTGAGGCAGAGTCCAGCGGTGGGAGTGGGGAGCCCTTGCCTGTGTGTGGCCATGCATAGGCTGGCTGCGGGCACAGAGCCAGACCACCAGCCCCACTGCCCTGAGAGCTTGGGTTATAAACCAGGGGCTGAATCTGTTTCCCGTTTCTCCTCTCTCATTTCTCCTCACAAGGCTTCCCCATATTCCATGGATGACAGTGACCCTCGCAAGTTCTTCATGTCAGGTGAGAGGATGTGGGTAATGACCAAAGGCCTGGGGATGTGCCTGGAAGGTACCGACTGAGTGTTCCCGCCCCCCCCAGGCTTCACTGGTTATGTGCCCCGTGCTCGCTTCCTCTTCGGCTCCAGCTTTCCTGTGCTCAGCAACCAGGCGCTGCAGGAGTTTGGAGAGATGAAGTCTCTGGGCAGGTCCCAGAAGGATCCTAAGCATCTCCCGGCACTGTCCCAGACCTACCCTCAGCACCTGGGCCTTTTACCTAAATAGGGGGGCTATGCGCCAGGTGAGGATGGCCCGGGAGGGAGGCTTTGGGGACTGGGATATTTGTGTGTGTGTGTGTGTGTGAGTGTGAGTGAGTGATAGGTGGAGGTGGTTTAGGGGATGGGAACTAGTAGATACGGGGAGGGGGGTCCTTGGATCGTCAGGTTCGGCTTTATCACTGGGCAGAAAAGGAACTGACAAAGCTTGTAGTGTGGAGTGAGGACCAGAGTTTGGAGGATAACTTGGAGGTTCTGGGTAACTGGCTGAGGAATAACTCTTCTGTGCCTCTGGCTACAAATGACAGACTCTTTCGGCCACACAGGGTGTCAGTTCCAGCTCGGCCGCACATGTGGGCATCTCACCCAGGACGCTCTGGCTCTCAGCACCCTCCAGAAGCAGCTCCTGGTGTAGGTACCTGGAATTTACGTTCCCGCTTCCCTTGTCACCCTATCCCAGCCATCCTTTGGGAAAGAAGAAAGGCGGGTTGGCGGGTGGGAGGAAGTGCATAGAGAGAATGGTTTGGAGGCCGAGCACCTTTTTTATTAATAGGTGTAATAAATAAATAAATAAATACATAAACAGAAGCCTGGGCTCCTCCTCCCTCCTTGACCGCCAGGCACTGGCCACAGCCTATTTACAGCTGGGGGGCCTAGGGAACTGGCCCCAATACTGTCACCCAACCTCCTCACCGCCTGGCCGAGGGAACCCTGCAGGCGGGCCTTCTGGTCACCTCCCTCCACAGGGAAGTACCTGTCTGCACCCACGGGAGGACTGGCCAGATTGGCTGGGGAGACTCTGGCAGCCCAGTGCTGCATCCCTTCCCTCCTCGCCTGGGGGAGGTCCGGACGAGGTCACTGGGGCAGGCAATGGGGAGTGATTAATACTGAGCACAGGGATGTTGTGGCCCCCAGCTCTCAGCCTGCTCTCTGTAATCAGGCCAGACGGCCAGGGAAGCGCTCTTAGGCCATGAGCCTGGGGGCTGTGAGGGTCCCTGAGGCCACCAGCATGCACAGGGCCTCAGTTCTGGCTGCTTCCAGGGCTTGGACTTGGAGTTGGGGTCAGGGTCACGTAGGCCAGGGGCACCAGGCCGGTGTCAGGGCCGCGGCTGCAGCGCAGCCAGTCTGCCCCGGCCGGCCCCAGCACCCGCAGGGTGTCTCCCTTGCGGAAGCTCAGCTGTCCAGGGCCTGTGGCCAGATGGTGGCACAGCGCCTTCACCTCACTGGGGAGACAATAAATGGAGGTCAGGGAAAGCCCATCCCGAGCCAGCCTCAGCCCCCCAGTCCTCCAGTCTCCCCGGCTCACCATGGAGGCTGGGAAGGTAGGCCTGGAGAGGGTGGCTCCTGCAGGCTGTCCTTGGGCTCTGGCTCCCGGCGGGCACCCACTGTTTGCGCCACGAGCTGGAACACAGACTTGTCCAGGCTGAGCCAGTCCGAGGGCAGCCTAGGGGACAGCGGCCAGGGCTCCGGCTCCATCTGTGCCCGTCTTAGAGCAGGCTCTCCCACCCCCTCGTCTCCGGCTCCATCTCTGCCCGTCTTAGAGCAGGCTCTCCCACCCCCTCATCTCCACCAGGGACCTCCTCTTACCTGTTTGTGGGTCGGGCCTCCCGCTGAGCCTTCCGGGACCCAAAGAGGTGTCCCCACTTGATGCCCCCTGGTGAAGGTTCGGACGCTCCTTCCTCATTTTCTGCTGGCGGGGCAGCGGACCCCTCCCTCTCCCGGCTCCGCCTCAGCTCCGCCAGTACAGAATCAGGGGGGCTCCCCATCCAGAAGGGCCAGCCCTTCTCCCGGCCGAGGGTCTCCTCAGGGGCAGGGCAGGCCTCCGCTCCCTCCACGACTCCCTCGCGGGGGGGTGGCCCCACGCCTCCTGCCCCTTTCTTTTTCTCACTGCTGCTACCAGTGCTGCCCCCTCGGGGGAACCTAGAGCCCTCGCTGGAGCCATCGATGTAGACCTGGGAGCTCTGCATGAGCTGGTACCACCAGCCAGCCTGCCCACTTCGGGCCCACCTGCCGCGCCCCGAGCTCCCGGCCGCCTCTGTCTCCTCCTCTTCCTCCTCCTCTTCTCCACCTGCTGGGGCACCCACGCCCTTCACCCGCTCCCCGGGGGCCGCCCTGTCCACATCTCCGGGGCCGTCCCGGCTGCGGGAGCGGGCCAGCTGCAGGGTCGAGTGGGCGGACAGCAGCAGGTCTTGGGACACTCGCAGCAACTCCTTGTGCTGCCGCTGCTGCTGGCCGCTCTGCAGCAGCCGGTGCTGGAACAGCAGGTCTAGGCTGAAGGGCAGGAGCGCCAAGGGCTGGAGCAGCAGCAGCAGCTCCTCGAAGAGGCCGGGGCACACCGTGCGCGCTGCATTCAGGAAGCCCCACGGCTGGTAGTGCGTCTGGACGATATCTAGGGGAGAGAGAGAGGGACTGAGCCACAGCGAGGAGCAGAGCCTGGCCTGGGGCGGGCCTCGGAAAGGCGAGGCGGGCAGAGCCGTCGCTTGCTGCTGGGCGGGCTGCGTACTGTAGCAACCTGGAGTTCAGGAGAGGCTCCTGGCCACCCTGACTTCCAGATTGCCCGAGTATCTGCCTGGCTCCCAGGCTCTAAGATAGCAGAGGCTGGGAAAGGACTCCGCTAGAAGGCCAAGCCTCGAGATGAAAGCTTGTGTGGTTCTCCTCCCCACCTCTAGACTCGGCAAAGACAGCAGTGCCGCCCCCACTTTGATCCTCCCGGGACGGGCCTGTATTGAGTTGGCAAGACAGCGCACAGTTCTGAGGGTTACCTTCGTGGTTATAGAGGTGATTAAACCAGAACTCCAGGGACCGGATGCTGCAGGGAGAGAGGGGAAGAGTTGAGTCTCGTGCGGCTTATAGCCAGATCGTGAGGTACAAAGGACACAGATATGGGGGGTCAGACACAGCAGAGGGACAGGCGAACATCTCCCTTCAATGGCAAGCTAGTTTCATGTTACACAGTTCTGGAAACTCAGAGGGGATGTAGGTGGGGGTGATTCACAAGCCAGTCACTTCTTAGAATGGAGTTGACTTGCCCGTGACCGAAGAAGTTAGGGCAGCTACTGAGTAAGACGGGGTAGCTGAGGATCAGAGGGGATGACCCTGGCTCATACTCAAGAAAGAAGGACACTGTGATATACGTGCCAAGGTGGACTGGGTCAAGCAGGATTCAGAAGCAGTGCTGGAAATGAGAGGTTCAGGGTTACAATACCCATAGGGACTGACAGCCAGATTAATTTCCAAGTGAGCCAGATTATAGACTTATAAAAGCAGAAGCCTGTATTGGTGATCAGAGTCGTGGGTCTGGTAGGAAACCTGTGACCCACGAAGAGAGGCTGTAGCAAGGTGGGGAGAAAGTGGGCCTGAGCCTGGCCACAGATCCTGCAGATTCACCCTTTCTGATTCAGTCTAGGGAGTTGGTTCTTCAGAGGTGCTGGGGCCCGGGGGAGGGGGCTGGTGGGCTGTGGATTTCCACACACTCACTTGAGCAGGCCGAGGATGAAGGCGTTGAAGCGCATGGTGTGACTGGTGAGCTCTGGGAACTGGCTGACTTTGTTGTACAGGCCGTGCAAGACCTTGGTGGATGGGCCTGGGAGGAAGCCAGAGTTGGAGGTCACCATCTTTGGAACCCTGAAAATTCAGCTTGGGCTTCTTCCCTTGCCAGTAGCACTGACCTAGCTGGGTGGAGGCCTCCACCACGCTCCACGGTGTGTTCTTACGCTGCCCAATGATGACGTCCAGCACAAAAGACTTCAGTCCGTCCTCCAATACTGCCCGCACCGCCGGGCACAGGTACTTCAGAACCAGGTGGCCCACGTTGGGGCTCACAGAACTGTTCCCCAGCTTCGCCTGCGGATGCAGTGGGGAAGTACGGGCATCACTTGCAGCCTGACCTTGGTCCTCTCTGACTCTTAGTCCTCACGGTACTTCTCCTGTGGTCCCCGCCCCTGAGGACCCAACTCTGAGTTCTGGGGGAAGGAGAGCAAGGGACGGGGGTAGCACAAGACAGGTGAGGCTCAGCAGGACGGAGCTCAGCGCCCCAGTCTCTCGCCTACCTTCACCCCGGGATCCCGGCTTGTGCCAAAATGGGCCACAATGAGGTCCACAGCAGTGTTGACAGCCTTCACCAGCCCTGCAAGTGAGAATTTGATGGGCCAGGTCCCTGAGTCCCCAGGCAACTTGGCTGGGAGTGGGCCCTCAGTGGGGAGAGGGAAGGGCTTAAACACACACACACACACACACACACACACACACACACACACACTCTCTCTCTCTCTGTCCCTGCATAGGCACCACAGGCCTTGGCTTCTTCCTGGTTTTGCCCAGTTCTCAAGCCCTTCCTGATTTATACTCTGCCAAGACCCACCCCAATGATTCCACTAAGACACTCAATGTTCTCACTTCCTTGTCCTCTTACTTCAAACCTGGATCAGTCTAACTCTCCATCCTCTCCACTCTGAGAAACTAGGCTATTGGCTGCTGCTGGAGAAAGTCCAGGGCTGTTCACCCAGGGCCTGGGAAGGGCACTTCTTTGATGCATGCCTTGCAGCACCCTCTGCTATGCTCTCAGGTTGCCATGCCAAATCCTTACCCCTCTTCTCAAGCCCTTGGTTCTACTTCACCCAGAGAACAGAGGCCACTGGTAATGAATTCAACTTCCCTCTCCATCCAAAAGACAGGACTACATTACATCTGTCCTTCCCACCTGCCCGCTCTCACTCCCTTTCCATCCTGGAGGAAGGTGGCCATTCCCCTTCTTGCCTAAGGTTCTTCCCTCTCGACGCTCTGAGTCCCCTGCTCTGTTTCTGCAAGGGACTTTAGCTTCATCTTTCTCCCTTTCACAAGCTCCTTCTCTTCAGCCCACAGTTATGCTCAATCCTCTCCTGATCATCTCATTTAAACGGCTCTGCTAAATAGACTGGTTCCCTGTCAGTCCTTATCTGATTAGATGTCATGATCATGCTTATCCAAGCTACCTTGTCCTGCAGCACTTGAGCTCCCCTGTTTGCACATAGGAGTCTCCCTCCCTACACATAGCTCCCTGAGGGAAGAGACGGAGGCTGATTCTTAAGCATCTGATAAATGCTTGCTGCTCGCTTGCAGACACTCATGATCCATGGTGCTGACTTCTGCCTCTTGCCCCAATGCTTGTGCTAATTCCCTCCCAGCACTTGGAGTTCTAAGACAGGGAAATATTTTGAAGGGCCAGATAGTCAGGCCACAGGCATAAAGGTAGAGACAGCAGATTTCCGGTCTTGAGCTAGGAATGATATTCACCTTTTTTCTGAAGCAGGTCAATGGATACAGCCTCTGAGCTGCCATCTGGGGACAGGCAAAACTCAGCGGGGGGTTTCTCAGTCAAGGAGAAAGGGTCTTGGAAGTCAGGGCAGGTTAGCGGTAACGGCTTCACTACTTGACCTGGAAAGAAGAGAAAAATCAATCCCAAGCAATTGTCTTCCTGAGTAGCAGCTCAGTTCTGTGCCTCATGTCCTCTGAGATGTGTTCTTTTGGGATTGACCCCCTCCCTCCTGGCTGCAGCAGAGCCTGCCCCGGGTTTGCTGGAGACCTGACCCACACACCATTCAGCCGGCAGT